TTGAAGCTCTGTATCACCAGTTCTCCTAAGATTCGCTATGTCAGCTGCGAGCTGCTAGCGAAGTATACACAATTCGATAAGTTATCCCAGACGCAACGTTCATTTGTTCGTATTTTTTGTTCATTGTACTCGTGCTCTGCATCACCAGTTCTCATAAGATTCGCTATGTCAGCTGCTAGCTGCTAGCAAAGTATACACAATTCGATAAGTTATCCCAGACGCAACGTTCATTTGTTCGCATTTTTTGTTCATTGTACTCGTGCTCTGCATCACCAGTTCTAGTAAGATTCGCTATGTCAGCTGCTAGCAAAGTATACACAACTCGATGAAATCATCTCAACGATCATTTGTTAGCATTTTCTGTAGACATGACAATGGCTAAACAATCTCAAGTCAAAGGAATTATTTGATAATAAAAGGACGAGTTGACTGAGCACAGCTCTGACCGGTGAAGCGAGAAAGGTGATCGATCCATTAAACACTTTGTATCTGACGAGAGGAGCACAACGCCACGGTGCATGCAAATGAGTTAAAGCTTAAAATATCGGTTTATCTTAATTAAATTTCAACGAGTAAATACACATTGAATCAGCTATCATACAATGTTTAGAGAAACATAGAACAACGACTCTGATACTGTTTGAGGCTCTTAATGCAGTAAAAAAATCGTAAAATTTGCTCTTTATACTTAATCACCAATAAATTTTTGGGAACTATGTGTACTGTGAACTTTCGGAACAACGAGTTACAAAATACACACATGCATGAATATTATATACAATAAATTCCCTCTCCTGAAGCATTCTGTTCATTGTAATCGTTATACTAGATTTACTTCAAATACCAGTAGCTTGACCTACCAGAAATGTTACACCAATAACAAAAAGGAATTTGTCAGGCCATAATTTCATGGTTCGCTTCCATGAGATGGCTTTAAGAATCCTGCCAGTGATCCTGCCAGCGCGCCCAGCAGGATGCCTCCCTTAGCGCGTCCAGCAGGATGATCCTGCCAGCGCGTCCAGCAGGATGATCCTGCCAGCGCGTCCAGCAGGATGATCCTGCCAGCGCGTCCAGCAGGATGATCCTGCCAGAGCGTCCAGCAGGATGATCCTGCCAGTGCGTCCAGCAGGATGATCCTGCCACTGCGTCCAGCAGGATGATCCTGCCACTGCGTCCAGCAGGATAGCATCCGTAGCGCGTCCAGCAGGATGGCGCAACGATGAAGCAAAAAACAATTGCAGAAAAAGTATTGGAAAGCACGTGCAGCAACTTATCCTGACCTGCGGGCATGATTGTATGATTGTCAATGCATCTGTGTCAAGGAATGGGCATGTAATATCACATGAGTTAGTTGGAGCCGTTACAAATGCATTCTAAAAAGGTTCTTAATTAAATCTCACTGAACAGCACCAAAAAACTAGACCACCCATGATAGAATCCAATATGAAGCTACTGGTACATTTCATTCTAGGATATTCATGAAGCTTCAGGCATGTTATATTGGGCAACTAGAGCTTTTCCACTATTTTTGGAGCCACAAGATTTTCAAGATATGAATTACCTGCTATCTAATTGTTAATTAAGTTTGCAATCAGATCATCTGATCCAATATTTATTGAAAATATGTCACTTTTGAGCTGTACAATTTTTATAGTAAGAAAAAAATTCTAATCTTGCACAGCACAGTGGTATGCAAGATAAATATATTGAGGCTCAAAGTTGAAGAAGCAATTTTCCAGTCTCTTAGTCTGTAGTCTGCAGCACTGTGCCAGCAAAAGCTCCTTACACAGCAGTTGTCACCTGCCAAGTGTCAACCCTAGACAACCCGCGTTCTGCCCATTTAGAACTCTCCAGTTGCCAGTCCCTCCATAGTCCATGGCCCCTCCAGCATACAACACCTATGTAATCTACCTTCCTAGCTACAAGTGTGAAGTGGCTAGAGCTTTTCTGCCTTTTTCAGAACCATGAGATTCCAGCTAAATGAATTGCCTAAATTTCAATTAAATGGTACAATTGGGCTGTAAGATTCCAAATATATTAAAAATGTGTCACATTGGAACCACAAGATTTTAATTACAGGCCAATTCAAATGTGGAACATTAGACCAATGTTTCCTATAATTGTAGGCAAAAATGATCATTTCATGAGTGATTTTTAAAAATTTCAAATGTAAATAGGCAGTTTTTGTCATTTTATACTGAAGAAATCATGAATGGGTTATAGGAATGGGTAAAACTTGCCAGATTTACACGCAAAGGATCAAGGCAAAGGTCCATTTTACTGGTGGCTTCTGCCTAATTTTCTATTTATGGTGACTGCACTCACAGATAGGGAAATTCTAATCATCTGTCTATCAACTTGTACTGTACAGTACAAGCACAGTCAGGGTTGGAAAAGTCCTATTTTTTCTGAAATATTGCAGCTCCAATATCATATAATTTCAGTAGGTATGAAATTTTGCGGCTCTAATGTCATAATGTTGTTTGATTGAAGAAATTGTGGTTTGCACTTTGTGAACATGTCGTTTCATAAAATTTTTAACTCCCACAAGCCACGGTATATATACTTAAATTCTCCCGCCTCCCGCCAAAATAAGATGCAGAACGTAATAGCAAGTCTGTCAAGTCAACCCAAAGGCCAAAACGTTGACTAACCAAGTTACAGTCAAAGTAATAACAACAAGTAAACCCAAAGGCCAAAATGTTGACTAACCTAGTTACAGTCACATCAGAGCGGTCAGACTTCATTATCACTTGTCCAGGGTGCAGATTGTGGATGCAGCATTGCCAATATATGGGTTTTTAAGCCCTAAGCGTTGCCAGGTAATTTTAAGATGCGTCGCCAGTAATTTTTAATGAAAAGCCATTTATGCTGAGTAATGAAAAACTATTTACAAGCCACGAACTTCTTTACAAGGTTGCATGCACGTGTTACCCCAAATAACTAAATTTACCCTAAAAACAGTCTGATTGTACAGCAAGTGTCAACTGAACATGTGATAATGCAATCTGACTGCTCTAATGTGACCGCAACTACCTAATTGTAAACTTTATTTTTACATTTTTTGGTGGGAACTCATCACAACTGATTTCTGGACAAGCTTCACTGCATCCTGATCCATCCAACATACCGGAAACCTTACTTTTTTAAAATAGTTGGCCAAAGACTGACAAATATATTAAATGCAAGAATTTCAATCTAAATGTGTGGGCAAGATCTTCTGAAGGCAAATATTTTGCTACTGAAGCGTCGCCAAAGATATTGCAATATTCATCCACTCTCTGCACAGTGGTCACTTGTTCAGTTGCCTCATAAGTGAAGACAAATGTTAGTGACTGTTTTTAGGGTAAAATTAGAGATGTGGGGTAACATGTGCATGTGAATTTGTAAATAATGAGTTTGGAGCTTGTAAATTGCTTTTTGCACCCAAAATATGGAATTCACAGCTCAAAGAAATGGAATCACAGCTGGCAAATCCATAAAACTTTGGCTCAAAAAATCCAGTCGCAGCTTGCCAAGTAGATATATTCCATGCGGGAACTGATGCGGCATGCCTGACAGCCAGAGTAGTGAGTACAGACTGTACAGTGACTAAACTAAAAGGCTAAGTGAGCCATGAGCCTATCTGGATTGAAAATATTAAGCAAAATTTCTTAGAACTTCATAACAAAATGCATTATTTTATTAGAAAATTGCAAAAAACACATGCAGACCTTATATATTTTCTCTAAATACAATATATGAAATTAGACAAGGGCAATAAAAATGGTCAGAATTGACTGCAAACTCAGGTATTTTTTGTATCCTATGTCTCATAATCTCATTGAACATTGACCATTTGACGAGTGGCTTCTGTCTACTTTTGCAGATTAGGGTAAACGCGGTATATTCCGACACATTAAGGACGCATCGAGAAATGAAAAACTATAAAAAAACCGTATGCGTTACGTAAGTTCTGTTGCCTTCACGTGACTCTCAAAACACTTCACTACGCGTCAGCAACGATGAAACGATTACGACTTTTGGAAAAATTCGCCAAATGTTGTTACTTTATGAATTTCAGCCAATAATTCTTTAAATAAGGTCCCGTTCCGTAGGCACTCATGCTGACTACAGAGTCGGTTAAACCGCGCCTTGTCTCGTTCATAACTCGAATGATCGAGTTCGGCAACGTTCGCCGGTAAGTGCGCCATGCTGGTGCTCTAGCCCTTTAAGCCCTGGTGTGACGAATTCGTCACACAGAAAATAAAAGCTTCTACTGAGAGTAATTACATGTTTGGAGTCTAGCCGCGAGTGTGACGGTAGCGTCACATGTTGTGAACTTGTTCGAACGACGTTCGATGGAGTAGGCGCGCCGCTACTGCCAGTACAACACAAAGACTGCGCGTGATCTGAAAAGTAATTCAGATTGTTTTTTCACTTTCGAAACATAATTCAGTGCGTAAAAGGCTAGTTACTCGTTAGCCTTCAACTGGGTAAGATTGCTGCCATATCTACTGCTCACTTTTATCAAACTACATAATTTTCCTTTCCTTTGCTATTTTTGAGGATTCATTATAATTATTCCCATATATTCTTAAGTTTGATTAGCGCGGTTTTGCTTAACACGGTAAAACTCAGGGATTTATTAACCGCGTTAATCAAGGGATTGCTGTAAATGAGGAAATTAAAAATGAACTGATTCTAAAAAATCTCTGGTTTGTCACTATGCCATGCCTGATTTCAACCATCAATGAACGCATGGAACTAAAACAAAGCTCAATATAAAGGAAAAGCTGGAGAGGTGACGGAATTACCGTACCTACGATGTCGGAATATACCGCGTTTACCCTAATTGCCAAATGTCAGGCAATAACTAAAAGAATTAAGACCAGCTGCACTAGCACTAGCCACTAGGCTAACACTAACTGACTAAGGCAGTAAAACTAAAAGGCACAACTTCCAGGCTTAACTATTAAAAAAAATTACACTGAATTCACAGCTTGAAATTTTACTTTTACCTCAAGTCCAACTTCTTTTTATGTGATGCTTGACAAGCTGCTTTCTGTTGACAAACCGTCAAACGTCATGCTTTGATGATTTTAACGTGAGTTTAAAACCGGAAAAAGCAGGCATCAGCTGTTTCTAACAGGATGGAGTGAACTATCGTCCGGAGTTACAGAATATATTGAAATTCAGATGAGTATTCAAAGTGTATAAACATTAATCGATGCATGAATATTCTAAATATACAACCATAAATATGGCTTACAAACTTTTGAATCAGCTTTCGACCTGTGATTTTGGTTTTTTCAAATATTCTCAAGAAAATCATTACATGACTGATATTGTTATTCATAGTTATAATTTTCTCAGAAGGAATCCAACAAATCTAAAGGAAAAGTTACCTCCACAATGAACACATTGATTGAACAGCGGTTTAAAGAATTAAGCTTACGGCGTTTTTTCAGCTTCGTTCCTGGTTCACTACGTGTTACTCGGGATATTATCACTCATATATGAATACCCTCATATCGAACCATCTACAGCGTCGCTAAAAATTTGTTTCAGTCATATTTTGCCTGAAAGTTTAATTTTTATTTACCAGGCATTTAAGTTCAAACTTTTCAACTCACATTGTACATCAATGTTTTCTATTTAAACCCTTCCTTCAAGATTTCGCAACACAACAACCCCTTCTTTGAGATTTCGCAGCAGGTCGTGTATATATGAACTCATATATCCCCTATGTATTAGCTGCGGAAAGCTTCATACACTCACAAACAATCACTAATTATAAACATATAATACAATTTTCGACTGGTTGGTTATGGAGATAAAACGTTAGCGCGCATCTCCATCTATATTTGGGGCTTTGAAATGAACTAATAATGAAGTGATAATCCTCCCTAAGCCTTCACTTTGCTAAATACACTCAACTCTAGATTTCGGTTTCAGTAATTAGTTATTATTTAGCGTTTAGTTCGGCCATAACTCAATTTAGTTCGATCATACATGCAGATACTAGATCATCACTTTGGTGTAGCTTGTGGGCTTATTGTCCGAACTAAATTTATTTACTCACGCTGGGGCAGCTGACCTTTGCTGTTGACGATCCTCTTCAAACTCAGGAAATAAGCGACGTGCGGTGCATTTTTATATCTCTGCTATCGTCGCCTGCATCACAGCCACTATATATATATCAATACGAGTCACTTATATTGTGGAATTTTCCTTCTGTATTTTATTTATTGACAGCGAGACAGAGATTAGTTCAGAGATTGGAAGCTGTGGTCATCACTATATTATAACCTTTGACATTTTGTTGAGTTTAACCTACACAAATTTCTGAATAATGGTAATTTTATCGAACAAGGAAACATTTTATGGCGAATAATTTAAGTTAACTCTCAAGGCAATTTTCATTATTCGAAGAGAGCCGAAAACATTCGATCCGAATAGAGCCGAAATCTAACTGTTTCAATACTGTTTAAACAAATACTTACAGCGTTGCGCTTAGGCGCAATAAGTTTAAATCGATCACTCGTTTAGGCAGATCTCATAGTCTGAACCTAGAAGCCACTGTTCACTCGTATGTATCTCGCTAATTGTTTTTGCCAGTATAAATACTGCAGAAAATATTAATTATATTAGGAATGCATCTCGGCTAGGGAAGACTGTGAACTTCACAACGATGTTACCGGTTCAAATAGTCCCTCTGTTCGATATGTTCGACAGGTTCACTCAATGCAATCATAACAAACGATTTGCAGTACAGTGGTGAAATTTGAAAATTGATTTGATTTCTTGAACGCCTAATAATTACCAGTAATTTAGGGTCCTGCTTCCACTCATTCTGTTTTGTGTTAGTGGACACGGCGTCAAAGGATTACACGTCAAAATTAACAAATTGTTTTACATGGTTGTCACGTACGCAACTGCGGTTACCAGCCAACACACAGTCATGCATCCCGTTACGCTGGGCAAATCTTTTGTTGAATTTTGCAATGGAATGATACGTGGTCCTTGTTAGGTTTACTTGACGTTCGGCTGTTTTATTTCATAAGTCACATTCTCTAGAGACGATGGAAGTATAACGGAATCCCACCTTCCAAACGTCCTCTCTCACGAACAAACCGCCTTACGACCCCCGGCATATCGGGACAAATGTGCTCTGCTGTACAACCGTGCTTCGCTGTTATACGACCGCGGGCACTGCTAAAGAGCAGCGGATCGACGCAGAAAGCATAGATATCTATCGATGATAGATATTTTTTTCCATTAATTTTAATTGGAAGATAGTTCTACTTTACGAACGAAGAACTGTACGAACTGAGTTTCAACACGAATTGAATACGTACTGGTTCCATTGCATGTACTCGTAATTCTTATCCGTGTTGCGTGCCTTCAACCCTTTTAAGATCTAATATTATTTTATATAATCTCAACTAACATCTTATAGTATAGTATAGTATAGTATAGTATAGTATAGTATAGTATAGTATAGTATAGTATAGTATAGTATAGTTTAGTATAGTATAGTATAGTATAGTAAAAACTAAATAATCGCTGTATATAATTATAGTCATTGCCGTCTTATCTGATAAGTTTATATTCTCGGATATCTGTCATTCGTTGGGACACACCATGCAAACATGTGTCGTGAACTAATTAAACCAACTTTGTTTATCCTTTTTCAAGCTCTATAGATATTGTCCGTTTTAGACTGAATTAGTCGAATATTTCATCCTTTACGCGCTAAAAATATTGAAGAAGCCTCTGGACAAAACAACAACGAACTCTCTCTCTTTATTAACTGCGATTAACTTCCTATACATGAGGGACTTCGGTCCGTGCGCGAAGGCATCACGTCGCTACTGATCCATCTTATTGCTGCACTGTTAGAAAATCGACCGTAAAAAAAACGTTCCCACCGGCGTTACAGTGGCCGGTTATTTACCGTTAAATTAAACGACGGGAACGTTTTCCCGCACGAAAACGGTACGCCCGTTTTGGACTTTACGGCTTCCTACAGTTTCTTTCATATGGGGTGCCGAGGACTTTTCCAGCAGCGCTGTCTCGTGACTTCGTTGTAACTGGATATGTTTCTGTTACATTGTTGTTACTGGATACGTCTCTGTTTACATTGTTGTTACTGGATACGTTTCTGTTTACATTGTTGTTACTGGATATGTTTCTGTTTACATTGTTGTTACTGGATACGTCTCTGTTTACATTGTTGTTACTGGACACGTCTCTGTTTACATTGTTGTTACTGGATACGTCTCTGTTTACATTGTTGTTCCTGGATACGATTCTGTTTACATTGTTGTTACTGGATACGATTCTGTTTACATTGTTTTTACTGGACACGTCTCTGTTTACATTGTTGTTACTGTAAAAGTTTCTGTTTCCCTTAAATTAAAGCATCAATTCAAATACATGTTGTACAGATTTTTCTTTGGTTAGCTAATTTTTAAAATGCATATTAGGCATCTTAGTATAAATTGTACAAACATATAATGATTCAACTTACATTTTATGACTAGAAACAAAACTTAGTGTTATTAGATCTCCACATGCAGGCTGAAGCATTCAATTTACAGAGGTGCGGCTCTCAAGCATGACGTCAGTGTCTAAAATGTTCTCGAATCTTTCCTAGATAACATTATCGAATATCATTGAGGCGTGACGGGTTTTTCTCAATATATCTGCATTTCAAAAGGTTGAAAGATAACGTATCAGCCACATTTTCCTGACAGTCGATCAATTACATTATATGATGATTTAGCTTAAATGAAGTTCATGTGTTAGTCATGCTGGAATTACTGTTCAATTATCACTATTATTCACTACCTTTCAGGTCATACTTAATTACAGTGAGGTTTGTACGATATTTTATTTACATTCAAGTAATATACATATATTTTAAAATATTTTTAACAAATTTTCAAATCCAGTCAATCCTGAACTTTGGACGTACAAAACTTAAATTATATAACGGCCCCCGGCGCGTTCAAATCAATATTTCGTTTCGCGACAATTGCGATCACAGCAAGAGCTGTTGAGCTTGTCATCACAGCAAGAGCTGTTGAGCTTGTCATCACAGCAAGAGCTGTTGAGCTTGTCATCACAGCAAGAGCTGTTTAGACTCCCTCATACACGATCAAGACAGGCAACAAAGCTAAAGTGATCAGAATAGAATGGACAATCTCTAGACATCCATGAGCAAGAAATTTCGCCATATGCTCTAGCAACTCAGCCTCTTGCACTGACAAAGGGAAATTTTTTCTTGCTCCCTTCTATTCCCAATATGTTATCCACTCAACATTATATGTATGTAAATAATAACATTTAAAACGTTCAAAAGATAAATTTTACCTCTGAAGTCGGTAAATAATTGAGCATAGAGCCGTAAATACGAGACCTCAGTTCGCTCATTGTCAGGTATCTATTTCGCTATGCAGGCTCCCACAAAATGTCAACTGAACAACAAAGGAAGGTAAGCGAGAGCTCAGGTAAAACAGAAAAACATCGACATATTCCGAGTCCTTTGATTTGTGTGCAATTTTCTGGCACTGTCTGTTTCTTTTATGGTAATTCTTTTAGTATTTTGGCCCTGCATGTTGACGAGGTCAGCGATAGTTGGTGCAATAATAGATCAACAAATGCATACAATTTCGAATAGCTTCGACCTATTCATTTTCCTCGCCGGTGAGAACCAATTGACATTCATTTATTATGAAATCATAAGTTTATTGAGGAATTCAAAATGCCTGTTTACACGATGAGTCTTCGTGAGGTTTGTTGAATTGTTGATGTATGTCAAAATGTTCCCATTAACCGCGCGTTTTGACCCTGACTCATGTGAACTGCTTATCAACAGTCAGTAGAAGTGCAGAGAATGTCGAGGCATTTCCTCTGAACCTTGTCAGCGATCTGGCACTACGAGGCAATGTTCACTTTATAGCAACATTGTTCTAGAAACTTCTAGAAACGTGTGTTAGGCACATACTATAAGGAATAACTACACTTATTCCATAATTATCATAATTAAGAATAGAAGTTTATTGACATTGAACTCAAGACAGGCAAATACTTAAGTTTCTTGTAAAAAAATACGTGAACTCGCTTGCCTGAGAAAC